GTAACATTATCCTAATGTAACAGTTAATTAATTGTTCATATAAAACTCTCCCGTTACAAAAAACTAAACTATGTAACAAAATATTGTACGCTGTCGTTTCGAAATACCTATTTGTTTAGGATTTATATTTTATCCATAATTGGTAAAACTAATTTTACATATATTTTATTTAAACAAATAATAATTTATAATATCAAAATAAATTATCTAGTTTATGCGGATTATGCTTTCAAAATAAATTGATGTATTATTATTATTTTCAGCTGTGCAAAGCTGCAGTGGTCGAGCTTAATGACGTTTGTTTGTAAAATTAATTAAATTAAAACAATATGAGAATATATTGTTTCATTTACGTTTTTTTTTTCATTTCAAATAGATAATATTTCAATTATTTTTGCATAAAAATAAAAATAAAAACTTTGTATTATTTATAAAGATGTATAAGAATATTTTTAATTTCTATAGGAAAAATGTTTTTAATTAATATTACATCACAGTATTATTATGTCGTTTGGATGAGAATATACCTATTGTCTGCACTATACCTCCTGAGATATATCAAGAATTATTAATAAATTTATTAATTTGCATAATGTTAGTCGAATAAGAGGAGATAATGCTGTAATATGTAACAAGTATAGAAGCGAGTGATATTTTTATGAGATAAGAAAAAAATAGATTAAAATAACAATTAAATTTAATGACAAACTGCATTTAAATATATATTTTTATATATTTGCAACATTTATATTATATACAGGGTGTCCCAATATTCCGTGGACATAGAGAACTTCTACGTATTTCTGAAATCAATATAAGTTCACTGGACACAATTTACCTCTATACAAAATGGCTTCGTTTGTCCGTTAAAGAGCACCAATCAAAAATAAACCCGAACGTTAATTAATTTAAAATTTATTTATTTTTTAAGCTATTTATGAAGCTTGTCAAATATTTAGTGTGATACTAACATAAAATTTCATATTACTGCCAACTAGATTATTAGCGTATAATAATAGATTTTATGCGTTTGGATGAGAATATACATAAAAAAAATATTGAAAAAAAATTGATGTGAAAAGAAATATTTTTTGGAATCATCAGCTTCGGAAAAATATTTTTTTCTCAAAAAGTAGGGCGCAGTAGAGTTTTTTTACAAGGGACAAAAAATGTAGTAATTACTAAAATTTATGTAGGGGTGGGGGTCGTTTTCAACCTTCATGTACTTTTTCTTGATTTTTGTGAATGCCACAAGATTGTGTCAAGCACTTACCAAAATATAGGCACCTTAAATCTCAATCAAATCAGAATAACAGTTCTTAAAAATCTTATATCTTATTTTTTTAATTATTAAATTATGTCTAATGAACTTATTTTGATTCCAAAAATACGTTGTAGTTACGGAAAAGTTCATGGAAAATATTGGAACACCCTCTATAATGGAATAACAATAGTAACCACGCAAAATTTGTTTAATTAATTTGAATTTGTCTTTATGTTTAGCGTGCAATAGAAGACTCGTTGAATTGGTCTGTAGAAAAATCCCGTAATTTCTTTTAAAACCAAAAGGTATTCTGGAAATATAGTAATTATATAATGGTAATACTCTATATTTTTAGTATTATTTTATGTTAAAAACTATAACAGAAAATTAAATTTATATTTTTAGATATTTTCAAATATCCCTTCGCCATTTCGTCATTTAAAAATAGAGACAATAGAAACATTTTGTTTTATTTTATAAATTAAGTATCATCATGTAACGTTTCTACTCTTGTGGCAGATTAAGCTAATTTACTGAAAATATATATTCTCAAAATATAAAACACAGTGAAAAAATTCAATCAAGGGTATTTTTTTGCAGTCTTGTTGGGATAACGTAAGTAAGATAACAAAAAAATTGTTGTCAGAATTTTTTTATAGTACGTTAAATTAACAAAATAAACATACTTGGGTATATACCGGGTATATAGTATTTACCCAAATTCAATGTGGTCGGCCGTAGCTCCAGCAGGTGCGTGTCTATCTGCGGAGCGAGAGGTACTGGGTTCGATCATCAGCCCAGTACGAACGCTTTATTTATTTAAAATAAAAATATTTATCTAACTAGGTCCAACTAAATAGAGCGACCAGCGAGTCGCCATGCTCAAGGAAGTCCACCTCAAGGAAGGTAATGGCAAACCACCTTGAGTATATTTGCCTTGTAAAACCTCTCAAATAGTGCTGTTCGGATTCGGCGATAAACTATAGGTCCTGTGTAATTGTGAAACAAGTAAATGCGAGAGGTAGCCGACGCCGACTGTTAAATAAAATTAATATACCGGGTGTTTGCCCATCTCTGATGATATTGAACAATAATATTTTACATAATTATGATTTTTAAATATTGATAATTATGTAATTAACTGAAGTATTTATAAAATTATAGGTAAATCAATTTGGGCAAATGGAGAAAAAATATTTTAAGTTTTATATATTAATAAGTTACAAACTCTCTATCAAAATAGAAAAGCGCTTTTTATTGTTTACCAACACATGGTTGGATAAATTTGTGTTGAAGTACAAGGGCAGATAAAGGAAAATTTGTCACTTTGTCGAGGAATATTAAACTTATTTTGAGTTTTAAATGCTTTATTTTAATGGTAATGTTTCTAGAAAATAACGGTTAATACTGAGCATCTACCATTTTTTATTATAATTAATCTATACTAATATATAAAATTCTTTAAGTGACCGACTTACTGATTAATCACGATCCTGCTCAAACCACTCAACGTAAGAAGTTCAATTTTGGCATACAGGTTGATTCTAGAGCTTAGAGTTTCGATATGAAAACCCCCTCAAATATTACAATATTTTTTATTTCAAAAAAGGTCAGGTTTCCGAAGAAACGCTTAAACACGTATATTTTATTTTTTGTTTTTACATATTTTAACATTTCTTTAAAAATGTATACAGGGTGTTTCGAAAAATCTGTTCATTGATTAATCACGATCCTGCATAAAGCGCTAGAGTAAAAAGTTGATTTTTGGAAAAAGGATTGACTTTAGGGTGTAGAGGTTCGATAAGAAGGGATTTTTCGAATTCTAAGGGGGTGAAACCACCCTTCAAATATTAGAATATTTTTTATTTAAAAACCGGTGAGTTTTTCGGAAAAACTCTTAAATACGTATATTTTATTTTGTTGTTTTACATATTTTAAGATTTTTTAAAAATTTATACAGGGTGTTTCATAAAATATGACCATTGAGTAATCACGATTCTGCTTAAACTGATTGACGTTTAAAGCTGATTTTTGGCAAAACGGATTGACTGTGGGATGTAGAGGATGTAGAGGTTCGATATGGAGGGGTTCCTCGAATCTCAAATTCCAAGAGGGTGAAAATGCCCCTCAAATATTACAATATTTGTTATTTAAAAAACGGTTAGTCTTTCGGGAAAACGCTTGGACACGCATGATTTATTTTGTTTTTTACATATTTTGAAATTTTTTAAAAAATTATACAGGGTGTTCCAAAAAGTTGGGTAATTGATTAACCACGATTCTGCCTAAACTGCTTGACGTAAAAAGCTTATCTTTAGAAAACGGATTTTTCGAAAGTCAAATTCTACCGAGATGAAACTACCCCTCAAATATTACCGAGTGATATAATAATATCGCCATATTGTTTTTTCTCATGCTGTCATAATTGTGAGAAAATTTTATCCAGTTTATATGTCAATGAAAATTCTTCCTTTGCTTTATCAGCACCATTACAAATGACTATTTCGACGCGAACGAAGTCATGGGTACACGCTAGTATATTTATATAATTTTGATATTTTTTATTAAACAGTTTTCTAATTTAAAACAAACATTCGCCATAGTGTCAATAAATAAATACTCCTTGCAAATCTTTTATATTCGTATTCAACGTATTTGATTTAATTTCTGTGAAAAAAAAAATGACAAACAATTGTCACTAACATATAACTACAATTATATATTCTCGCTTAACACTATTAAGTGCTTGTTATTCTGTCTGGATCTGAGCTGTTTAAATCATTTTACTCATACAATCATTTTTATAATTCCTTCACCGGAATATCAAGAAAATTTATCCCAAAAATTTTTTAACGGTTTTTTGAAACTTAATTTGCTATAGAACATTATAAATATTTATAAGAAGTTTTATGAGCTAACAAGTATATTGTAAATTTTAAGTAGAGGTAGATATAACTAATATATTACTAGGTATATAATTATAATGTCAGTATTTTTAAAGTAAAATTTAAGATTACCTATTTTAATATTACCTAAATGTGTATATATGTATACTAAATTGTATTCGTATTACTATTTTCAGAAACAACTAGGATTATTTGTATTTCTTAGCTTTACCGTATCCTGTCACTGTTTAGATGAATACGAACGAGAATATTTTCTTGGTCCAAGGCACTATAATCCACATCCCTACGAAATCGAATTTGAAATATCGAGATTGTCGGTAAGTAAAGAGTTTACAGATAATTTCTTGCTGTAATCCTCTTGAAATATTGCTACTAAAATAATTGTTCAAAAGTATAAAAGGCAAAAAAATTAGAAACTGAGAAGGCAATATAGTAGATAAATTGTTTTATTAGGAGTAAAATAGATACTTTTTGTGGCGAGGTTGTACAGGGTGGGTCAAATTAGACGCTTTTAAGCGGAAACACCCTTTTCTATAAGAGATAGACGAAAACTAATATCAGTGTGTATAGCTCAATTTTTATCAAAAACATGATGATGAAAATCGCATGTCAATATCTGTTATCTGTTACCATTTCGGAGTTACGGGGTGTTTATCAAAAATATGCATTTTTAACAAATCGCTGTAACTTTTTTGCTATGGAAAATTTTGTATTTTTATGAAAACACTGCCAAAGCAACTCTTTACGTAAAATTTTTAAAGAGACAAGAAAGATTTCGATACACGCCATCCAAAAAATTACAGAAAATACTATTTAACCTGTGAATTAAAATGACAGGAACAAACGTCACTGTCACTGAACCTTCTCGAATAGACTATACTTTATTGTTATTAAAACATTCTTATACTGTTATTAAAACATTCTTATACAGTGATAATAAAAATAAGAAATACAAAATGTACTTGAAGATTACACTGTGAACTTTTCAGAAGATTCTTTTATATTTTTTTTTCTACTTTTATACTAGGATACAGGGCCTCATACATTTCCGGACACCGAAGATGATGATGACGATTATAATAGTGGAAACAGGTACAATATAATTAGTTTGGGCAATCAAAAGCCCAAGTATTCGGAGGACAATGAAAGTCCCTACTCAAAGGTATCCAAAAAAGTGAAGAATTATATTTACGGCGGCTATGAAGATGATGATCATGAGGTAAGTGCACGTTTCTTCTATTTCTGACATTAAAAACGTCAAATAAACGTCAAATGAATCACTTGAAAAGACTGAAGTGAATAAAAATGTAATTATACCTTAATTAATAATTACAAAATATTTTTACTAGTAATACCACAAGGGTGTAAATTATTTATGTTTTTTTTTGCGAGCTGTACGGAATATTTTGGAAATTACTATGCATATTCCCGAGTGTGAAAACATTTCGTATTTAATTTAATCTCTCGTGGAATTCGGTTCGCAAAATTCACATCAAATTTTGTTTAAAATCATTTTAAATTAAATTTTTTTTTGTTTTTGACATTGGTTACTTTTTTCCTTCAACAAGACACGAGCATAGCGTAGAAAGTCTGGTTGATTGATAATTGTCTAAACTAAAACCGTAACTTACGTTTGAAAGCTGTTAATTTTGTAGTAAAAAACTTGTCAGTTTATTTAAATAATACAATATAGTTATTTTTATTTGATTTTTTTATATTTTTAAAATTAATCGTTTTGAAAATTATATGGTATGTAATTTACGTGAAAAAATATCCGACACATCGACTAAGCCCGCGGTTACATTGGACGCGGGTCCGTGCGTTTTTTTTCATACGTGCGAGCTTTGGGTGGCTTTGGCGGAATTTACTCTCGCACGACTATTTTATTATAAGCCCGCGTTTACATTGGACGCGGGTCCGTGCGTTTTTTTCATACGTGCGAGCTTTGGCGGAATTTACTCGCACGACTATTTTATTATAATAGTTACATTAGATGCGCGTTCATGGTGTCCTGTGTGTCGAGTTTGTCAAATCAAGCGCCACTACTTTGATGCTGTGTGAGGATATAATGTTAAAATAAATACTCACGAAAAGAAGAAAATGTTGGGTAAATGATCTATGTGCAAGAAGAGAGAAGAAAATAAATATGTAAAACACTTGGTGAATTAAGACAGCAACCGGTCAAATTTTTTGAATATTTTAGAATGTCTCCATCAACATTAATATATCCCAAATAAAATTAAACCTGGTATTCAAAAATATCCAATTTTTTCGGGAGTGTATTGGGATCAGAGAAAAAAATTCGAACGCTAGGACGTGCACGTATTAAAAAAAACAAACCAGTTTGTTTTCATCCGACCAACGAAAATTGACGTACGTGCATGGACGCGCAAACTCCGATGCAATGTAACCGCCTGCGTAGACACCATTTGTTTATTTTTTGCTGCGTGCACGTTCGTGCACGTATGACTAAAGAAACGCACGGACACGCATCCAATGTAACCACGGGGCTAATCGTCGTACTATGTGTTATCTGGCTCAAGTACTTGGCTGCCATTAACTGGAGCCATGTGTTTACATGGCTCAAGATTACGGTTGCCATTTGAAGAACGAAACGAGCGAGTTGTTCAGAAATACTTATTGCATCTAAGTAAATTATTCAAAATTGAAACTATTAAACGAACAAATGGTAAATAAAAACGTTTTTTTATATACAGGTAGTTTGAAAAAAGTTGAGCCATCTCTCTTAAATAGATTCATCACGTAAAAATACGAATTATCCTTTATATCAACGTAGATCAGATACTGCTTTGTTTCGTAGCTATAAAGTGTTAAAATCTAATTTTTTTTCGATTTATTATAATCTTATTTTAAGCGCTCTTAGCGATTCGAATGGAATTTTGAGGGTAAAAGTTTACTTACTATAAGTGCGATTTTAATGCTAAAAAAGTGTCGACAGATGCACCAGAAACGTGCCTGTGGGTTATCACTGGAATAATTTTCTAAAATAACATGCACGGCCCTTACTTTTTTCTCTTGTTAGCAAAACTGTGTAGACTATTTAACGCCGATTAAAATTAGTCTCTCGATATTTTGTCAATTTCGGTTTGCTTGATGAGATAATCGAATTTTATTAATTTACCTTAATCTAAGTCTAATAGCGGCCTTTTAAGTTTTTTTTATGTCATTAACTGCCCAAACTATTAAATAAGTACTCATGATTTGTCATCAAAAAACATGAAAAAATGGCCCTATAAACATCGGTGCAGAAATAGATACAAATATACAGGGTGGCGTACTTCACTCGCCTTGGTTGATTATGCAAAAACGGAAAGATGTAGAAACCCGGCAGAACTAACATCCATACCAAAGTTATATTTTTTCTTATGAAACAGCAGGTATTTTATTTAATTTGTGGATTCTAGGACATAAAATAAGGTATTTATTATAAGGGTTTAATATGATTAAATGCTTTGGTTTTAGAGATATTTAAATATGCATGGTATAATAAAAAAGTTTGGCAACACCCTGTACATTACTTTTCAGAGTTAATTCTTGTGCTGATTTTGAAGCCAGAGAAATAAACTTTACTAAAAAAATTTATTGCTTCCTTAAATATATACAGGGGTATCAAAAATTGCTGGTCTATTTTAAATATTTATTTTACATAAAAAATTACAAAAATGAAGTATCATAGTGTTGTATTTGAAATTACAAAAAAACTTCGTTATTTCTAATTTCATATACAACACTACGAATTTTTTAAAATCGAAGAAAAAGTCGAAGCAGATTTAAATGCTCTTTCAAACTATATTAGGGTTTCCTATACCTATCTGGCTGAGATTTTGAATAAAAAGCGATCTTTCAATAAAATGGCAATCAAGATGACTGGTGGCGCCATGCGCCATCGCAATTTGCTAGTGACAATTAGTAACTATTTTCAAAATCGACATTCGTTTATGGACTTTATTTAAATTTATAACAGTTTACTTTTATTTAATTTACCTACAATTGTTTAATAAGTAAGTATTTATTATTTTATCAAGAAAAATAAAGAAGTCGTTCTTTGATTTGTATTACGATGACTTGTAGATATATTGGATTTTCTATAAAAGAACCAATTAAGGCAAATTCATTTTCTTCACTTCTAGAGTAGGTTTCTGCCTTATAGGTTTTTCATATATCATAGTATAAGCTCTGCGAAATAGGAAAGGAACGCTTGTCAAGAAAATTCTTATTTGGATATCTTTGACATAAACCTTTCAGGCCAACAAGCAATTGTCCTCACAAAACAAAATCACTAGTAACATATCCATTCCTTCTGCCAGCAGATACTGCTTCATTTTTCTTGATAAAATAATAAATACTTACTTATTAACCATATTGTAGGTAAATTAAATAAAAATAACCTGTTATAAATTTAAATATGGTCCATAAACTAATGTCGATTTTGAAAACAGCTACTAAGTGTCGTTAGAAAATTGCCATGGCGACACCAGCCATCATGATTACAATTTTATTGAAAAATCGCTTTTATTCAAAATCTGTGCCAGATAGATACAGGAAACTCTAATATAGTTTGAAAGAGCATTCAAATCTGCTTCGACTTATTTAAAAAAATACATAGTGTTGCATTTGAAATAACGAAGTTTATTTCTCTGGTTTGAAAGTTAGCACAAGAATTAATTCTGAAAAGTAATAAAATGTACAAGGTGTTGACAAACTTTTTTATTATAGCATGTATATTTAAATATCTCAAAAACCAAAGCTTTTAAACATATTAAACCCTTATAATAAATGTCTTATTTTATGCCCAAGAATCCAAAAATGAAATAAAATACCTGGTGTTCCATAAGAAAAAATGTAACTTTGGTATGGATCTTAGTTCTGACACACCCTGTACATTTGAAAATTATTTTAAATTATATAACATTTTGGTTCTACATTTTTCCGTTTTCGTATAATCAACTGAGGTGAATCAGGTGCGCCACCCTTTATACATAATCAACATTTTAGTTTGTAAAAAAAAGCGTTTTTGTGAAATATAAGCACACGTTTAAATAAATAAATTATAAAAAAAACTAGAGGGATACGTAGAGAGAAAAATTTCCGATAACATTCGTTAAAGTTCGTTAAAAAGTTCACGTGCAAAAAATCCTCTGCAAGATTGATCTAACATCAATCTATAATATACCTACTTAAATAACTTTAATGACCAAATATATCCTCGTTTTATAGTTTCTAAACTGAAAGTTAACCACGTCAAGACTTTAAAACTACAAATAGATTTCGTTCTTATTGCAATTTGAATTCTCCAAGTCGATTCAAGTCGGAATTCGGCCATAGTTTTCCATTGCCGGCGTGTTAAGGAAATGAGGGATATAGAGTCGCTTTAGCAACGACCGGAAATGCCATTTTTGAAAGTTTTATTCGAGCTGTATACGGACCATTACAGCTGGTAAATTGTTATTGTTGATTTAGGGTTAGAACTAGGAAGTACTCTTTTATTATTAAATAGGTTTGTTTGGGAAAGTTTTCGGATTTCTATTCCGTAGACATGTTTACTTAGTAAAACTCTTTTTTTTTGGTTGTTATTAAAGAACTGACTAAATTACCACCGGCGGCATTGCCAATTGACGAAAGAAATATTTATTAACATGAATGCCGCCAAAAAATGAAATAAATTTTTAGTAAAGTACGTCGCTTTTTGCTAAATATAGTGTCACAGATAAAGTCATATATTATATTGAACATCATACATCATATTGATTTTTTTTTATTTATTGACGGTTAAATTTGACTTGGGCGATGATTTAGATTGAAAATGGTATAAGAAAATTTACTCTGTTGACCTCGAGTATCTATCAAATTTAAATTCATTCAGAACCTCGCAATTAGTGGAATAAATTAGTGGTTTCAATTAGCGTAGAAGTTTGTTCACCTATTTTTAATGTAAGCATTCAGTTATAATTAGTGGTAGAAATTTTCAGTTAGTCGAAAAAGTTAACAAACTTTTGACTTTTCCACTAATTATACTTCAAAATTTGCGAGGAATGTCATTTTGCCCTTTGATTATCATCCGTCAAGAGAAAAATGTGGTTGTAGATATTATGCTTCCTCTATGTATATGTTACAGTGAAAGTTGGAAATTCAGTGATTGTTAACATTCACTGGGAAATGCTAACAATTACGCATTGGACCAGTGAATGTGGCATTTTA